GAATTTCAAATAGTTAATTTGATACTAATATCGATATATTTTTGTCAAATTTTTATGATATCTTCAAACATATATTTTATTCAAAAATAAAAACATCACCGCTTTCTCAAAAGTACATAAAGTCATATTATAATATCGACTGATATAAATAATAAAATGAAATATTAAAATTACGATGTATCTCGCTGCATTACACGAGTACTCTTCTAATTCTATTTAACTCTAATTTGATACCACAAAAATTAATAAACACTTTGAAAAAAAATAATGGTACCGGTCCACTACAATCTCAATCTCAGTCTCTATTCGTCCTCCCTCGACTCTCGCCTCGCTCACGGACGAACTCACGAACAGAAACCAATTCACGAATCGAAATCGCAATCGGCCTTGACTCAATCGGCTCTCGCTCTCCGCATCTCTCGAGTCTCGACTATCGACCGGCTCTTGGCCTCTCGCTCTCGCATCTTATGACTTGTGAGGTTAGGGTTATTTACTTTACTAATTTTATTTTTTATGTTTCTAATTCTTGTTTGATTGCAAAACCTAAGTATGAAGCTGTGAAATTGGTCCTTTGTGGTTTGTCATTTGTGTTTCGAGTACTGTTACTGTATCCCTGATTCACTGTATGTCTGTATGTATAATGTTAATGTATCATGTATGCCTAAATCCTAATTGAAATCCATGCCTTTTGCTGCCAATCTACCATTTGTTAATTGTTGGGTGGTTGACTGGTTGACCTAAAGATGTCTATGACTATAAACCTCTTGTTCCTCGGCGGTCCAAAATCTGATGATTTCGATTGTTATTTGAAGATTTGATCTTTTGTTTAGATTATGGTTATTTTGTTTAATTGTTTAGTTTAGGTTAGGGTCATTTAACTTATCTTGTTTAGTTTAGGTTTACCCAAATGTTAAAACTTTAATCATTACATAGCAAGAGCCAAAACCATAAAAACTTGTTTCTTGTTGACAATAGGATCATTATGCATTTCATGGTAAGTTGTTGTGTATGTCATCAAACTTATTTGTACCCTGGTAGTAAGATTGATATTTCTTATTTCCTTAATCCCGGCCTAGGTACAGGAAAAGAGGTAGAGGAAAGTAATTTGCTGCAGAAATTATCATAAGCTTGCATTGTTGATTTCTCTTAGATGGACTCTTCATGGGTTTCAACTGAAGTTTTGTTGTTCATGGCATAAGTTCTATACTTTTTATGTTTGTTTAAAGTTAAATGAATACTATTGTTATTAATTGATCTAGTTGTTCATCGAATCAATCAAGCCTATCTCTGGAGTTTTAGTTCTTCATTCTGTGATTAATATTCAAGTTATCATCCACTGAGTTTTGTTCTAATCCCATTAGATTTTGATGTATATTAACACAATTTCAGCAGCTATAATATAGTTGAACAAACCTATAAATGTGCAGTAGTTAAGTGATGATTTGCCCTCACTTGAATGTGCACTGTGCAGTAGCTAATTCACTTGACTGTTCTCCCTTAACTTTGCAATTTTACATATGAAACTCATGATTGTCATTGGTCATGCAATAGCTAATTTCATAGGCAAATATGATTATATGAAACACATGATGGACTAACGGAGTCATGCAATAGCTAATTTCATAGGCAAATACCTTAAGTGACTAAAACTAGGAGGACAAAATTAGTGAAGTAGGAATGAGCCATTGATGTTGTAGAGTGTAAATAATTGAAGAAGAACCAACCAATTAAGTGTTTGGAGTTGGATTGTGAAGGTACGAGTGTTGAATTTGCTTTATATAGAAGACGTGGGATGTAGTAAATGGGACAAGTGGACGAGTTAGTGTTATGATGCTCCTTATTTTGGTTTTGGACAAGTAGATGAGTTGGTGTTTAAACGCAAAGGCTATAACAACTTGATTAAAGAAACCTTAACATATTATTTTAAAGCAAACACTCAACTATAAGATCACACTTATGAACAAAAAAAACCAATGGGTCTCTCGGTCTATGAAGGAAAAAGCTAGACAATTGTAAATTACCGCACTTGGATGTTTATAATTGGGCATCATTTGGACTTTTCGCCGTGGGCACCAAAAGTCTCAGGACCGGCCCTGACAGCACCTAATTAGGAACAGTTTTTACGGTATACAATATCACCAAAGGCTTTAGTATGGTCAGATATCATGTATTACCAACAAATTGATCAATTCATCATCATTAATAGCTCTGTATCCAAGATAAATGGGATCAGCTAAAAAATGAAACTTAATAATTATTTAGAGGTGACCCCAGGGTAACTTTTATAAACAGTTAACTATGATTGGTAACATGAACAGAAATTATATTGTTCTCACTTGAATTGACAGTTAACTATGATACTGCTGTTTGCTACTTTGCTCTCTGCTGTTATTTGTTGTTTGATGTAGTTTTTCTTTTTTGTTGTAAGCAGATTAAAAAAGAGTTGTATGCAGTAAAAAGATGATCATTTGTTAAACATCAATTTGAAAAGCTCAAAATCATTTTGTAGCAAATCAACAATTTACTCAGGGAATAATAATGTACCAAGCGATTTGTTAGGGGCAATCTGATCATTTTTAACAGTTTTGTCCTGTCCTGTCCTGTCCAGCTTACCAAATGCATGACAGACAATTAGTCCAGTCCTGTTCTAGTCATACCAAACGTAGGACATACAATTAGTCATGTCCTGGCCCATCCAGTCTGCATACCAAACGCTACCATAAGAATTATATGTATCTGTAAATTAATTCCTTTGATAAATATACAAACTTCTTTTTTTATTAATGAATGATTTCTGTAATAACATTGATTATTTATTAAATTCATTTCTTTTGTTTGTATAAAGAGAGCCAATGGGTCAACCCCGACCCAACCCTGTTTGATCCATGGCCTATTTTTATCCATTCTAGGAAAAAAAACCATTTGGCTTGTTACCCATTCTGACCCATTATCCAATCGGCCTAACCTGCCCATTTTTCCATCACTAGTGAAGGTATTCTCTACTTTGTTCTAAAAAAACAAAATATTTCTAGTTCCTGCTTTTACCTTCACATGAACTTCAGGTTCTAAAGAAAATAATGCCTGCTCAATTCCCTTTGGGTATTCAGCAGATTGTAGTTTGATAATTTTTTGGCTGCAATGTTGTTGTTTGTGGACAGTTTAGTTATACAAATAGTCCTACACAACATAATTAGGAAAGAAAGTAGTTTAGCGTTTGAGCACTCTTCAACAATAACTCTTAGGTCGGGTTTGGTTTGTAGGATTGGAAAGGATTTGGAGGGATTTGGTATTCAATTTCATTCCAATCCTAGGATTTGGAGGGATTTGGATTCCTTTGTAGGATTGCTTGGATTTGAAATCCCATAGACTTGGGATTTAGAAATCCTATGGGATTTGTTGGTATTTCATGAGATTTTGTAGGATTTGTGTGTAATAATGTTTAAAAATATGTTGAAAACATTTGTTTTGTAATAATCAATTAATAATAAGGTAATTTAATTATTTTTATAATTATTTATAATTTATTTTCATAAATTATTTATAAAAAGGAATTCAATTCCATTACAAATCTTACAAATTAAACACACCAAAGATTCCAGATCCTTACAAAACCAAATCCCTCCAATTCCAAATCCTTCCACGAAATCCAAATCCCTCAAAACCATTCCATCAAACCACACGCCCCCTATTTCTTCTTACTTTTGTTTCTTCGTGAAGGTAAGGTTCTAAAGAACTTAATCCTTATGTGCCCAATCCTTTAAGATATTCAACAGAATGTATTTTGATCTTTTTGCAGGAGTGTTGCTGCCAATATCTGTTTGAGTTATACAAGAAATTCTAGTGAAAGAGGACGAAAAGCAGTGTCATCTACTTATCTTATACTTAACCCTTGAGCATCTGCAACAATATTTGAACAAAAATGGCAGTCTAAAATCAATTAGTTCTTGACTTCCCCAAGAGCTACAGTTTTTGATGTCCTATAATCATCAAGCCTAAGAGAGGCACTATGGTTGAACCTCTCCCTCTAGTCTCATCTCTTTCTCCGTCAGTTCTCTCTTTCCTTGACAGCAATCTACTTACTGCCAATGATCTTCAACAAGCTCCTCGACTTGTTTCTGAGTTGCAGAATGATTGTCATCTTTTGGAGCAGAGCCTCACGGATCTGAACCAAAGCCTGGGTACCTGTTTGCTTGCTTACTCTACATACTCGGATCAAGTAGGTGTCCTCTTTAATGATATAAATGCCAAATTGAGCAGTTTTCAAACTTCTATATCAGGTCAGTTTTTCGTGTGTGTGTATATATATATATATATATATATATATCAAATGTTCACTGAACAAGATTATTTTCTTTTTGATATTTATTTTGTCGTACATTTACCTGTATTTGATGTTTAGATGGGGAGGGAGGAGAGCAAAGGGAAAGATCAGAAGCTTTCTTGTGGAAGGAGTTGCCGGCACTTGCTCGTGAAGTGGCTAGGGTTGAGGCAGTTCGAGTGTATGCTGGTGAGATTCCTATTTCAAGTATACTTGTTACATAAATCCAAGCAGGCAGCTAGCACTGTCTAAGTTCTTTCATGTATTGTTCTTTCTTACTAAATTGGATATGGGTTTACTCTGTTGAGAAAACATACAAAACGTAGTCATATGTTGTTCTTTTTGTACTTTGCTATACAAGTTATTATGCCTCAAATAGAAGGATGGTATGCATATTTTGTTGACACTGCTTGACATGTACCACACAACACAACACAAACAATATTTATGGATCTCAAGCTTACTTTAGTTGGGTTAAGGAGGTTCTCCTCCACTTYGAACAACTGGTTGCAAAGTTGACATATTACTGATTAAACTTATGATCAGATAAAAATTTAGTGCAGAAAAGTAGAAAGCTTCATATCAATTAWTAAGGGATTGTTCCTGGGTATTCAATCCACCATAGTTTTAAGCCTTTTTTACTGTCACTTGTAATGAAAACAATTTATATATAACCATGAACACCATCACACGAGAAAATAAGTTGATGTTACCCTAGGCATAGTCTATGGATAATCAGAATAGCAAACCAACATCAGTACTGTGTAAAACACTTTTTAATTGATCTTGAAACTCATATAATTATTGTTGTTGCATCAACGATGCGACCTACCAACACGGCATCAAATAACGTAAAGACRATTAAAAAACATAAGTTAGAATGGATGGTAATAATGTACATAATATGGGTATACTGACCATGGAAGATGTTGATTCCATATGTTTAGTATGGATTCTTTTGAGTTGGTATTATACTTATTTTATTTATATTTCTGTAAATTCACTCTTTCAAGTGCTTGCTTGTGTCTACTAATTTGTGGCAATCATGGAATGGCATGTAACACAATTAGAGCAAAGTTTTCTGCTTGAATACGAGAAACAAGGAACAGTTGTGGACATTGCATGCTTGATTACAAATATGGTTTTGGGGGGGGAAATAGGGATACCAAGTTTACACGTTAAATGGATATCTAATCATGATCTTGCAAAGGGATGAATATATATGGTTTTTAAAGAGATTGGATTTGTGGCAGAGATAGTAAAATTATTTGGTTTGAGTTTCTTGGAAAAACCTTTTTGTTAACCCAGAATTGAATAATTTTTTTATGAATTTACAGTCCATTCCTAATTACCCAACTATGTAACTCAAGGTTTTAGCTTATTTTCGTTAACAATATTATCTAATACTAACTTTTATAGCTTTTATTTAGAATTTCTTCTGATTTTTTTTATTTCTTACAGAAACAGCACTGAAACTTGACACCTTGGTTGGAGACATTGAAGATGCCGTCTCGTCCAGTGTAAACAGAAATTTAAGGAAGCAGCCATCTGCCGAGAATTCAGAGGTGAGCAAGTAATCAATTGAAGTTGATGCTGTTTTTGTGAATTAATATTTTCTAAACCTCCTTATATGTGGCAGGAAGTACGTTTTGTTGCTATTAGTGCTCTTAAACTGGCAGAAGATGTTCTATGTAAAGTTTCTAGGACACGCCCTCAATGGTCCCGCCTTGTCTCAGCCGTTGATCACAGAGTGGATCGAGCATTAGCCATTTTGAGACCTCAGGCAATTGCTGATTATCGATCTCTTCTTGCCTCCCTTGGCTGGCCACCACCTCTGACCACTTTAAATCCCTCTAATCTAGAAGCAAAGAAATCAGCTGAAGCTACAAATCCCCTTTTCACGATGCGGGGCGATCTCAAACGTCAGTATTGTGACAGTTTTCTTGCACTATGCAAATTACAGGAATTGCAAACACAAAGAAAATCTCGACAACTCCAGGGGCAAAATCTTGAAATTACTTTGCATCAGCCGCTTTGGGCTATTGAAGAGCTTGTAAATCCTATATCAATTGCATCTCAACGCCATTTTGCAAAGTGGACTGAGAAACCTGAGCTTATTTTTGCTTTAGTATATAAAGTTACTCAGGATTATGTTGATTCAATGGATGAGTTATTGCAGCCACTGGTTGATGAAGCGATGCTGTCAGGTTACTCTTGCAGGGAAGAATGGATTTCATCCATGGTAACATCCTTGTCGACATATATGGCAAAGGAAATTTTCCCCATGTACATTGGTCAGCTGGATGGAGAGAATACTTCTGAAAATCGATTGCAAGCTAAAATATCCTGGCTACATGTTATTGACTTAATGATTTCTTTTGATAAAAAAGTCCGAACTCTTGTAGCTCAGTCGGGAATCATGTTATTGCTTGAGGAGGATGGGAACATGCAAAATATTTCTTCTCTCTCTGTTTTCTGTGATCGACCTGACTGGCTTGACATATGGGCTGAAGTAGAACTCAGTGACACAATTGATAAGCTGAGTCCTGAAATTGCTGATGAGAAAAAATGGTTGATGGAAGTTCAAGAATCAGCTCTTGTTTTAGGTTCAGAAGATTACAGGTCGCCTGCAATTTCGAGTGCATTTCTCAGGCGCCTATCATCCATTATTGAACGCTGCCGGTCACTTCCAGGTGTTCCATTGAGAGCAAGGTTTATTAGATTGGCAGGTGCACCAATTATACACAGGTTTTTGGATTCCTTACTTCTTAGATGCCAAGAAGCCGAAGGGCTGACAGCCCTGACTGATGATGATGCTTTGATTAAAGTGACAAAGTCTATCAATGCTTCTCGATACTTTGAGTCTGTTCTAAAGGAATGGTGTGAAGAAGTGTTTTTCTTGGAAATGGGATTGGATCATAATAAACTGGGAATACCAGTTGGTGAGAATAGTTCAGGTGGTATAATTGATGAGGAAATATGTAATCTGGAGAAGTTTAGAACTGAATGGAGTGAGAAGTTATCAACGGTTGTTTTAAGAGGGTTTGATGCTTGCAGTCGTGATTATTTGAAGAACAGGAAGCAATGGATGGAAAAGAGTGAAGAAGGTTGGGCAGTTTCCAAATCCTTCATCGTGGCACTTGATTATTTGCAGGTGAAGATGTCGATATTAGAAAAGAATTTGAATAAGATGGATTTTGTTGGAGTCTGGAGAAACCTGGCAACTGCTATAGATTGTCTTCTTTTCAGTGGTATTTTTATGAGTAATGCAAAGTTTTATGATGGGGGTGTAGAAAGACTTGCCAACGATCTGATAGTTCTGTTTGGGGTTTTCAAAGCTTGGTGTTTAAGACCTGAAAGCTTCTTTCCAAAATCAAGCGAGGGGTTGAAATTATTGAAAATGGAAGATAAACAACTCCGGGGTAGTGTAGGAGGAGGAGAAAGGTGGCTTAGGCAGAACATGATAAGGCATCTGACTGCAACTGAGGTGGAAAGAATTGTGAAGAGTAGGGTGTATAGCAACTAAATTCCGTCAAGATATGAAATTTCAAGTTTTTCAGGTGCAGCTAAATCCGTCAAGGTATGGTAACGAATACAGTTGGGTATGTTCTTTGTTCTAATTCTTGGAACTGAAGGATTATGTTGTATATTTGTTTTGGTAGTATTTAGCTTTGTTTGATAACTTAATTTTTAATTACTCCCTCCGTCTCAAAATAAGTGTCCATGTTTCTACTTTAGTTTGTACCAAAATAAGTGTCTACTTTCATAACTAAGTGTAAAGTTGTCATTTAGTTAACTAAAAATTTTAATAATTACACATTTCTAAAACTGTGTGCCTTTTTCATTTGTTGACATTTATTTTGGGACGGAGGGACTACATGACAACAACGCATCTGAACTATAATTTCTTGATAAGAGTTCTAGAGATGATGTATCACCAAGCATGTCAGTTGAGTTCATGTACTAATTTTGAACGTTGAAATGCCTGTGGTGCTTACTTTGATAAATATGTTAATGTCAATTGCTTGCAAATGTGCTCTAAGGTGAATTCTGTTGACTTGTTCTTGACAAGTGAATTTTATGCTATTATACTTCGTCCCAAGTGTTAGGGCCTGTTTAATGAGCTTAATGAGACTCACAACATTCAGTTAGTTATACATGACTGTTTGGTAGTGGCTTAATGATATAGAAAATGGCTTATTCAAAAAGCTTCTAGGAGAGAGCATTATACAGAAAGTTAAGTTTTTTCCAAACGTGCTCTTCCCACTTAAAAAAACACGTTCCTTCGATCTATGAAAAACTCTCACAAACAAAAACATCCCTAATGTATACAGACAGATTAGTCCATACAAACAGCTTTATCCATACAGGACTTAATTAAAAAACCAACCAAACAGTCCCTTAGTTGAGATTAACTGGTAGAAAATTGCCACAATATATCATGAGCCAATGTTCATAGTTTTCAAATTCAAATCGCATCAGTCTCATACAAATGAATGTGATTAGCTTGATTATTTTTCCTAGAGGTGTAGGAATTGAGATGGTTATTTTTATTATTGATGGGATATCCTGTATACATAATGCACAAGATTAGCTCATGATCTTAGGAGTGGAATGATATATATAACTGAATCTAATTATGACATCCCATCCTGCAATTGGTTGGATGATAATGGATTCCCTTGTACGCCTTCGTAATGAGCTACTAATAACTTTCGACCATGTTTTAGTTGGTTTGAAGGTGACATCCACACACAGAGATTATTGTTGCAGAAGATCTCTGATGATGTTCACATCAACACCAGTGCTTTCCATGGAATCCAGAAGCTGAGATAGTCTTTGTCCTAGATTGTCCCCTTCTGTTCTCAAGCTCTTTATGTATTTGCACGTCTCTTGAAGAATCTTTGATGCTGGCACCTTTTTAATCATTACAATTTATTTAAACATTTTTGACATATTCATGCATATGGTCTAGGATAAAGCATACACATTACTACTTTATCATGTAACTTTAGCTCTTAGGTGCATTTGGTACGTAGACTGGACTGAGATAGGTGGGGGAAAGAATTTTGGAAGTTCTTAAGGTTTTAATTTGACATGGATAGTTTAGTAAGTCACCTGTCTTCTCCCATCTCCCGGACATAATAAGCTAGCTATTAGACAATAAAGCATGTTAGATAATGAGCTAGCTGTTAGTTGATAAGCTAGTCACGTTTGTTAAAAGCTAGCTAATAAGCTAGATGACAATGTAAAATTACCTGAATGGATAAGGCTCTTGATCATTTTATGTAAAATATAACGGGCATAGTTGGAAAAAGTGGAAAAAAGCCACGGAGCTTATTGAAACGCTACCTGAAGTAGCTTTCCAAAAACGCAATTTATGGCTTACCAAATGGAGCTTTTTCAATAAGCTCAATAATAAATAGCGGTATTGTATTGTAGTGCTATACTCATGGTCATGACTCGTGTTGTTTTGGTTTTTGTATGTTCCTGATGTTATGGTTGACTTCTAGTATGACTATAGATGTCATTTTATCATGCATGAGTAAACCGTAACCAACATACCCTTGTTTTATTGCAGCTAGAACTCGAAGCTGGTAGCAATGCTTGTAATTTCGAAACGAGCCCATTAAGCTCATCATCTCTGTTCTTAGAAGGTCTCGTTCTTCGGCTAGACATGACGACACTTGAGGTATGGCTCTCTTTTCAGTTTTAATATTAACATGGAAGTTGAAAAGTTTGCAAAACTTGTGCTGCTTAAAAAGGCAGTGGGAATTAGTAGTAAGCTTGGTGACAAATGAGTTAGAAAAATACCATAATCATACCAACAGGTCTGTCTGGTGCTGATTTATATAATCTTGGGTTGGGTCCAAATGTTTTCACTCAATTACACTTTATGGGACCCACAACATTTATGGGTGTTTGGGGTGGTTCAGCCATTTCTGATACATTTAACCTGCTGTGTGCATTGTAGACTAAGGGTCCATTACAAGTAACTGCAGATGTTTAAATGCCACCTATAAGATACTTTGTTTCTGGTTTTTATTCCAATTAACCATTAATTAATAATAATAACTCAACTTGGTGTTCTTATTTGGACAATTTATAATATAATTTGGCTTCCATTTGTATTTTTGTAGTTTAGTTGTTTCCATTCTAAAAGGGGTTTGTGTTATCTTTCGGGTCCCACAACCATGATACAGTTGTCTTAGGGTGAGTCGGAATTGAACCCGAGCCCTCACCCAAGGGACGGACCCAGAATTTTTTTTAAACGGTGGCACCATTTGACCATAAGAAAAAAAATATAGAATTTTTTTTTTTTCAAATGGTGACATCGTTTGACTATAAGAAACAAATATACGGAATTTTTTTCAAATGGTGGCATCGTTTGATTAAGAAAATGACACTAACATGATTCGGAATTGGGTGTGGAGTGGAATAAAAGCCTTGCAAACCAACTTTACCAAATAAAACTTGTTCTCATTGTAGTTTCAAAATACATATGGTGGCACACAACAAATTAATACGGTTGCACCGTTCACGAAACCTAAATTTTTTACCCTTCGGCGGAGAAACGATACGGTGGCACGTGTCACCCATGGCACCTAACTAGGTCCGCCCATGCCTTACCCCCTTTCTTTTTGTTGGGACAACCAGAGACCTTGTCTTTGTTGGGCCCAATTCATGACGGAGGAGTCAGGGCGGGCCTAGCTTAGGGCATATGGTATCATGTGTTACCACTTTGTTATCTTGACGTAATGGAAAAAAATCCGACTCTTAAAGGTGCAGCCATTTTTGTTAAATGAAACAAAACAAAGGTGCAAGGCAATGTTAATAGGGTAAGGACTGTTTGGTTGGTTTTTCATCAAGTTTTGTATGGATAAAATTGTTTGTATGGATTAATCTATATTGGGAAGGTTTTTGTTTGGGAGAGTTTTTCATACATGGAAGGAACGTGTTTTTTAATATGGAAGGGTAGGTTTGAAAAAAAAAATTTAGCCTTCTTCATAAAGCTCCCCCTGGAAGCATACTGAGTAAGCGACTTTCTATATCATTGGGCCATTATCAAGCGGTCATTTATAGTTGACCGAATAAGCAGTGACTGCCATTAAGCTCGTTAAACTGCTAACAAACATGTTCTAAAGTGTTCTTAAGGAATAGAAGGTCATAGGTTAAAGTATGGTTAACAGATTTTGCATTACTTTCTTTAAATTAAAATGAACAGCTTTTTAAGCTCAGTCCACGACCCATCAATTATTTAGCTAGCCGAATCTAGTTGGTTAATTTCTTAGGGTCTGTTTGATTTGCGGGAGTTGGTTTGATTTGTCGGGATTCGGAATTGGATTCCATTTCGATCTCAGTTTTGGTTTAAAGGAAAGTTCGAACTGAAATCCCACAAACATAAGATTTGAAAATCTCATGCAGGTAATTGGTATATCGCAAAATTTCATAGAATTTGTTTGTAATAATGTTTTAGAATACGTTAAAATCACTTGTTTTATAATAATTTTATGTGAGATTGAGAAAAATTGTAACATTTAACGGAAGATATAATTTTACAAAATTATTTAAATGGTGATTAAATGTTTTAATTACCATGTAATGTCAGCGAGCTATAAATTAGATTAAATACAAACTACCATAAACCAACTCAACAAATATTGAACATCAATTTAAATAAAAAAGCGATTGATTGTTTGTCTTTTCCCAATCAATACATACTGACTTAATATCGAATTCTCGATTAGATATAAAAACAATACTTGAGGTATGATTTCATACTAAAACTTTTCAACAAGGTTATTATTTATTAAAAAAAAGTAATACTCAAATACATACAACTTTTTTTAAAGGGGTCTCTCATACTATGTTATATTAATTTTTGCGTTTGCAAAATATCAGTTCTAATAAATTCAACTACCACAATTTTATTATAGATATCTATAATCAAACTTAAGACAGATGGGACACATCCCAATGGGCCTCAATCGATACACTCCCTAACTAAGTCGATGGTTACACATACCAAATGTTACAATCGTGTTATGTTATTTATTGGTAATTTCAATGATTGCAAATGGTACACTTCTATAAGAACCCTTTTATGTATTTCCTTTTTGTCCTAGTTTTACCAAATTAATAACTACCATAAAACTTGAAAATAATATTCATTTACAGTGATATATCTTTTATGTCTTTTTTTAACATAAAAGGTTATCCTATAAGAAAAAAAAAACTAATAAAAATAATATCTGACACAAAACTTGAGGTGGTTATTGTACAATAATTCAAAGCATTTAAAGCGACTTAAAAAAATTACACTTTTTCATGAAGTGCATCTTTAATAGTTTTGTTATTTTAAATTTTTTTAAAAGTTTAGGAAAATCTTGTTTTATCAGGTTATGTTAAACTCTACTTTAAAATAGAGAAAAAACTGAGAACGAACGAAAAAATCTTTAAATTTAAAAAAATAGGGAGAAAATATAGTATACATGTCGAAGATAGCTATGTTACAATTGAAATTTTGGTGATTTACGAGACTTTTGTGATCCAACACTATGTTATATTGTTTGGTTAAAAAAAAGTATATGAAAATCTTTGAAATTTAAAAATCTCTACAACTTTATATATGGAAGAGAAATAGTACTTTAATTATTTTTCATTAATAAGAGGTATTGAAGATAAATATTTAAAAGAGAAAAATAATATTTTTTTTAAATGTATAAAATAATTTATTAATTAAGTTAATAGTAGAATTGCTAAAATAGAGTATCAATTGGAGTTGAATGTAATTTTTTTTCTCAATTTTGATTTTTAATACTTTATTTCTAAAAAAATCATATCATAGCTTCTGGAAATTGTCAAAGATACTATTACAAATACTATATTATAAAACATTTGATAAAAAATATTAAAAACTATTTTTTTATGCATAAAGTATTTTTTTATTGATACATATTATTTAAAATTTAAAATTACAAGTAAATTATGCACAAGTATAACTTACTAAAGCTTTATGTTTGAATTCGTAAAACTAACTGCAGATAAACATAATTAAATACAGAAAAATATTTCATTTTAAATATAAAAAATCTAAAATATAATTAAAATAATTATTGATTTCTAACAGAATATGTAATTATCATTTTTATAAAAAGTTATATTATTAAATCAAAAATAAACTATTTTCGTTG